AAAGAAGCTATCGAAGGAAAGATAGATGGGTGGATAGAAGTGACAAGAAGACGAGGAAGAAGACGTAAGAAGATGCTGGATGACCTTGGGGACAGAAGAGGATACTGTCATTTGAAGGAGAAAGCTCTAGATCGCATTAAGTGGAGGAATTGTTTTGAAAGAGACTGTGGACCTGTCGTCTTGACAGATTACTGATGATGATGATGAATTGATGGACAGGAAAATTTAAATTGAATTTACCAGAAGCTAACAAAGCGGCCGAAAGAACCTACATTTGTACTATTGCAATTACTTAACTCAGCGGAGTAGAGACCACCTTATGGAACTTATACTCGCTCATCTAGTGAAAAAATTCCTCGCCTTTCATGAAATCCGAGGGATCACGATGGGACTCCTAAGGGCTCACACCTGCTCCTATCCCGGGACAGACGAATTCAGTAAACCTCTCGACAACCCACTATTTCAATAGTTACTTTCTAATAGTCATCTCCTACCAACGACAAGGCCTCCTTCAAGTTTTCCACCTAAACTTGTTTTTGAATTTCTAATTTCCATTAATGCATGCCATATTTTTATAAATTTAGAGTTTAAAATTCCGTAGTGGAATCCGGTGTCCATATATTTAAGTTATGACTTTCTAGCAAGGAAAGAAAGTTTATGGCTATTTCTCTTGTTTCATATGGAAGAGAAACAAATGAAACTCTACAGAAAAAGCCTGTATTTGGATTTATTATGTGAAGCACACGTGACGTAGCAACAAGCACAGCCATTGGCTGTTTATTCCGACATGGCATGACTTGCAGTTCTGTGATAAGAAGTAAAATTGTCCACCTGTTTAACTAATTAAGTAGTATGCTATGAAGGCTTATGGGAGAATGGATGTATAGACCGACGTTTCATTGAACTCGCCACTAGCTGGAGGTGGGTGGTCGGCTTCATGCTCCGACCGCTTTATCACCGGCGAAAGGGTCCCCATTAGCCATTGAATAGGAGGTTGGCTGGGCCCCATAACCGGCTTGGACCACGTTGAGAACGAGGAAGCTCTTGAACTTGAACTCCAACCACTCAGCCTACCAGCCCGTAGCCAGTCGTTTGCCGACTCCCTGCAGTTCTATCATAGTAAACTAAACAATTTTCTGCCATTTTTTATTACATTTTCGTTTCTTTGCTCTCAGTAACTCAAATTATACAGCGTCTAATCACAAGATTCTTCCATTCATCAAAGGCTTTGTAGCTGTTGGACTCTGGATGTACTGACAGTCGGCAGGGCCTCTTGGACTGGGGATCAGTCCGTCGCAAGGTCAGTATACATACACAGCACAGCATAGCACAAACATGGAATAAATGCATACAGACACCCATACCTAGAGTGGAATTCGAACCCAAGACCACGGTGTTTGAGCGGGCGAAAAGAATTCATGCATTACCTGGCGCGGCCACTGCGATCGGTTAATAACAAGTTGATAGCGAATATATAGATACTGACATTGGCCACGTTGAAAGTATAATCAGGCAATTTGCCTGGATTGACAGTCAAGTTAGTCGGAACCGGGCAGATCCCTAATCATCGCCTGACGCTTCACCACTTGAGCCGAGTCGCTCAGTATCCGTGCCTACCGCGCCTGGTACCCAAGGTCGAAATGCAGTGGTTAGCACCCATATTTTGGAGGTCCTGATTTGAAAACTCTACTCGGAAGCTGCTCCTGTTGAGTAGGCTTTCTTCAGTTCTTCAGGATAGTACGCCAACCCTAAGATATAAGGTGCAAAAATTTAATTCCTGGAATGGCCGCAGCGTGTCCCTGGAGTGATGAGTCAGGCGAACTCAAGTACCCAAGCGCGTTTGGACACGTTGCAACTTGCGTTTACGTGAGCCACAGACAAAATGCGCTATTCGTTCCCAAGCAGCAGAGGAAGCGGTGGGCGTCCGTGACGCATTGTTGGCGGAGAACTGAGTGACAAGAACCCGGAGCAGTGGATAAATGTAGTTTTGTGTGAAGATTGGTAAAAGTTCTTGTGAAACGTTAGCCCTATTAAAAGTGGATTATGATGAATATGCTATGAAAAAATCAATTGTATTTAATGACATAGGCCGTTCCAGGAAGGGCGAGAACATGTACTGTACAAGGCGACCCAAGAAGTGGGCAATGATAAACGCAAAGGACAGATGCAAATATTAACAGAGTGCGAAACTTAGTGCTCTAAGATCGAAGATTAGGAATGAGACTAATAGCAGAAGAACTGAATATGGGTATGAAACAGTGCTACAGATTATTACGGAGGATTTGGGATTGAGAAAATTTTCCGCAAAGATGGTGCCTCGAATCTTGACAGATGACCAGAAACTTCGGCTTCACATTTCATCTGATCTTTTACAAATGCAGAGACGTTTCATGTGGCCATTACCGGTGATGAAACGTGACGTTTCAAAGCAACCCGGAAATAGAACGTCAGAACATGAAGTGTAAAACACAGAATTCACCTCGGCCGAAAAAACACGCATGTCTCGCTCGCTTGTGTGTTTCTTCGATCATTGCACAAGGACAAACGGTGAATGAGCAGTGCTATTTGGAAGTACTGACGAGGTTACGGGAATCTGTTCGGAGGAGAACACCCGAACTCTGGCCTGACAAGTGGACTCTCCACCACGGCATTGCCCCTGCGCATGATAAGTTAAGGGCTCGCGAGTTCCTGACTAAGAAATCCATTACAAAAATGACCCATCCACCTTATTCACCTGACTTAAGCCCCTGCGATTCTTGATTGTTTCAAAAAGTAAAAAATGACCTGAAGGGACAAAGATTTGCTGACATACCTGACATCCAACGCAACGTGACAATGTTACTGAGAGGTATGCCGGAAACGATTTGCAAGACTGTTTCCAGCAGTGGCACCATTGTCCCACGAATTGCGTACCTTCACAAGGAAAGTATTTCGAAGGCGACAGCAGCCACTAGGGCGTAGGTAAGCAAATCTTGCTTTCACAGGACCATTCCGGGAAATAAGTTGTCGCACCTTGTGCATCTGTCGCTCACGTCATAATGCAGTTTTCTATGTATAAAGTATATGAAAGAACAAGAAGTTATAGGAAGAACTATTCGCCTACTTTCCTTTGATACGGCGCTGACCGTGTACAATCGAGGCCTCCAACAAATTTTTGTTGCCGCTGGAACGTTTTTATCGAGTTGTTAAGTAAAAACGTTGGGGGGATACACAGACAGACACAGATTATTCTTCATAGAAAATTACTTATACTGTAGCTTGTGTTCTTTGCCTCGTGGACGCCTGTACGGAGGCGTTTTCTAGAACCGGATGGAAGGGACAGATTTAACCGAGCCCGTGCCTTGCAACGTCTGGTGGAATATCTATGCAGACATATATACTGATAGGAGATATTTAGGAAACACCTCATTGAGAAAGACTGAGGTGCCATGATATAAATACCAAGTATCGTAAAGATTGGTTCAGGAATTCAAGAGTCGATAGGGGAGACACAGACACACAGGGTGGACATCGCACAAGCCTCCTTTAAGAATGTAGTCCAGAAGTGTCAAATATTAATTATTAACTAGTGTGACGGTGCTAGGATATAGAGAATTTAATTAGTATGACAGCGATTGAAGCAGAGGATGACCACTGCCTTCCATGAGTTTAAAGCCAAAGTTAGGACTATATTTAAACACCGCGCCATGAAAACAGGCAGGTAGACTGCGGATGCAATTCCAAGCGTTTGATCTCAGAAATGAATAAAAATATATGTCAGCTTCCTTCTCCGGCAGCTTTACTCGTATAAAACCCCAGGTATTCAATGAATAAAATGGGTCAGGTATGGGCCATCTCACTCAGCTTCCTTCAAATACTTTCTGTACTTATCCTTGTTCATTTTAAGACAATTTTAATAACTTGGATTAAGCCTATAATCAGTGAGATAATTAAATGATTAGTGAATAATAAATCTTAAGGGAAGAGAAAGGAGACCTTTATTGCCTAATGATTCTTTTTTCGCTTTCTCTACAGTCCCCTTGGGCCCTGACCTTTGATTTTCAGTTTCATGGTCATTTTACAGACGGTAGAACTCCTTGGACGAGTGATCGGCTGGTCGCAAGCCCCATACCTAAACACAGGACAACACAAACACAGAATAAACACATACACACCAAACATCCATGCCTTATGTGGGATTCGAACCCACGATCCCGGCTTCCGAGCGAGCGAAGACAGTTCATGACTTAGACCGCTCGGCTACCGTGACCGGCAGTGTATAAGAATAATATCTAAGAATTCAGTTCGTACCTCACAGGAAACAGATTCGAACCCACGGTCCCGGCTTCCGAGCGAGCGAAAACAGTTCATGCGTTAGACCGCTCGGCTACCGTGACCGGCAGTGTATAAGAATAATATCTAAGAATTCAGTTAGTACCTCACAGGAAACAGATCCGAACCCACGATCCCGGCTTGCGAGCGAGCGAAGACAGTTCATGACTTAGACCGCTCGGCTACCGTGACCGGCTGTATGGAGTATATTGTTAAGGAATGTACTGGAGGGACTATGGGAAGCGAAAGAAACCCTAGTTTTTCTCTGGGCAGAGATTTGAAGTAGAAACCTGCCATATACGAAGAAGGAATACTATCCACTCGACTGAGATAGTCCTTCCACATCCTCTAGAAATCATCATTCACAATTATTTTACCCTTTATTTTACCATTGGACGCTACGTAATGTATGCAAGGGAAAACTGATGTTAAAAGACATAGATCAAACACACGTGGCACTGCATGTTAACTGATGTGTCTGGAGTTGTATGAGTTACGCTATGTCTACTATGCCGAAGTACGTAATTTTAGCAAGCAGAAAAAGCCGAAGCCCTTGAACACGACAAGTGTGTGAATGCTAAAGCAGACAGACGATCGGAGCAACAGTCAGTGTCCACTCTGACTGAGGTGGAGCAGTGTACTGCACTCGCCTCGCCACAGCATGGGTTTACTCAGGTTCATCGTAAGTGAAATGCAGCTTTCATTTTCAATAAAGTGTTTCAGAATCGTGTGTTTTATATTTCACAACAGGCCGGGCGCCCCATGAGATGGTCTAGAAGCCGACATGGTAGTAGCCGAAAACTGAGGACTGACACCTAGGCCTACAGGCCTACTTTATATTCAAAGTACATAATTACATTTGCTTGAGTATAAAGTGTTTAGAAAAACTGACCTAAGAGTGACAGAGGAAACCAGGAAAATAATTTAGGATGTCTAAACTAGGATATTCATGTAGTCTCATCACAACAGTGAAATCAAAGAGGTTATGATGGGCCCCAAATGTTGCTGGAAACTGGAAGGGAAAGAGATGCATATAAAATTTTGGTGAGGGAACTTCTTGGAAGTTGTCACTTTGAAGATAAAGGAGAGTCGAGAGTAAAATTAAGACGAATATTAGTTAATAATTTGCGAGGATGGAAGGTGAATTTAAACAAATATACAGCAAAACTTAAATAATTAGGACTCTTGTGAAAATTCCGAATTATAAAACATATAAACGAATATGTAAGTATTGCAAGCATAGTTCTCCTTGAAAGCATAAAATTTGTCAAATTTCAATATAAACTAATGACTGTATATATTTCAATACTTTTATAGGGCGACAGGAAGTGAGAATTATATTATTAAGCCTAATATTGGTAGGAATAATCATCGGTCTGTGTAAATAAGATACATACATACACATAAGTATGCATATTTTTCCATTGCCTTTACGAAGCCTTTAGAACAGATTGCTGTTGGTGTGAGTACGAACTGTAACATAAACCGATTTACTGGATATTACTTCAGCATTGATTTAAGAGGTTAGTTAAGAATGTTTTTTTTCCTTAGCACTACAGCCCCAGTGGGCCTAGGCCTACCTCCATGAGCTTCTCCGTTCACTTCGGTTTTTCTAGATCTTACACATTCGGTAGGACTCCTTAGGCGGGTGATCAGCTCGTCGCAAGGCCTCTACTTGTACACAGACACAGAAAAACGCACACACACAAACTAAACATCCATGCCCTGAGTGGGATTCGAACTCACGATCCCGGTTTCCAAGCGTGCGAAGCCAGTACATGTCTTAGACCGCTCGGGTACCGTGACCGGCATTAAGAAGGTTTAGAAGAGTTAATTCTCGAATTCAGGTCTATACAAAGAGTTCCAAGCAGTTCTTGTCGATATACTGTCCCCCGCCCTCGTCACTCTCAGCGTCATGAAGAAGAAAACGGAATTCATCTCATAAAATTTTAATAAAGACAATTACACATTGCCCTCTCGAACACACGTACAGAAATTTGAAATCTCCCATGAGGTATGAAGAGAAATACTTTTGACACATTGAGTTGTGTTTTTCTATATAGGCAGATACCTTGCGATGGGCCAATTTCCCGTCCAAGGTGTCTTACCAAATGTTTTAAGGATTCATTCTTTCAGAATAAATTCTGCAATAGAAGCTAAGAGGTGGTGGAAAAGAAGAAGGAAAGTTATACAATTACACAAAGATTGGTCTCAGTGTCTTAATTTTCTTTTAAAATTCGTTAAATTTTACATGCAACAAGAAATTTAATACCATTTTCTTAGCCATCTAATTTTCCAAATTTTCTTGTTTCAGGCAAATATCTTCATTATATTTTAGCCTACACTAAAATATTAAATTAAACCATCTTATGCCATTGCGTCAAAGCGGCATTCTAAGCCATTCGATACCACTAAATTATCCATAGCGTTAAACACATGAAAATTTTGTTTTGCCATAAAATCTAATGTCATTTTTACCGGTAGTCTGCTTCGTTTGAAGACACTAACCTCGAAATTATTTAAGTGTTCAAGGGGCGTACTACAGCATTTTGAATGAAGAACATATGTAGGATCAACTGCAACAGACAGGTGGCAATGCATTCTAGAAAACGATATACAGCATAAAGACGTGGTCGTGATATATTTCAAAGCTTTTTCTTGGCCTATGTCTAGAGGGGGCGAGGAAAGCTATGTAGAACTTAAGTCTAGATAGCCTATGAGACCGGCCGATAATTTAAGCAGGTATTTTCCACATTTGTCTACAGTTTTGTCGCTCCCGCAATCTTCTCCTTACTCTGATCTATGTAACACAGTCTTTGCCACTGGTTGTTGGGTTCGTCTGTAATTAATATACAGGGCTACTATAAACGATTCATTCATTACACGTACAAATATGATTGATATATAAAAAGAACCGTAAACTCACCAAGTTTTCTTCACACTCTACAAATGTTCTATGTGTGCCCCTTGGGTCACACGACACACGTCCAGGCGGTAGTCGAGCTCGTTCCACACATTTTGTAGCATCATCCTGTCAATGGTCATCACTGCAGCATCGATGCGTTCCCTCAGCTCTACTAGTGTTC